TGGGAACTCTAGCGACCTTCTGAGAGGCTTCGCAGGGTTTCCGTACACGTTGCCCACAGCTGTGGCTCCTTCCCACAGAGTGAGCGAGAGGGCGGCTCCTGAGGGAGGTGAGGCTTGTGCCAACCTCCACCCTCACCCTTGCTGTACACAAACCATCTCTGACTCAAAAAACAGAAAGAAGATTGAGTCCCCGATGAATAGGGAACAAAAAACGGCAGAGGGGATTGAGAAGTCTACCGCCGGCGACTCTTTGCTTGCAAATGCGTCCTATTGTAGCAGCCTCAGAGTGTCTTCAAGAGAAGCATTGTGAGGGAAGGCAGTTAGGCCCTGCAGCCTCTTCAGCCATGACGCTGTTAACCCTGCACTGGTGCCGGCGGATGCTCTGCAGTGATAACCCTCTTAGCTCGGCTGCTCTAGAAGGAAACGCCCGGCACTGCGCCTCCTGCCAGCTCCCACAAACATGGAGGGGGTTGCTGTGGTTGTTCTGACCTCAGGGGCTGGGAAAAAGGAAGCAGGAAGCGATGGCCCTTATGCGGCGCTTCACCCTTCAGTCTGTGGGATCTTGAAGAAACAAACCCCAGACACACAAGCCCTGAGATGTCTGTCAGGCATATAGTTCTTCTTCTATCTTACTTCATTCTCGGGGTGACCGTCTCAGGATATTGTTGGTGTCGGTTGGCTTCTCACAGGATAAAGGAAAGGACTCTTGTCGATCTGATCTATTTAGGTTGTAGAGGAAAGTGGGTACCAGGAAGGTAGAAAGGAGTGTCCTAGCTTGAAGGGTTTCCAGAGAATCACTTCGCAGTAAATGTTTCCGGCCCTGAGTACTGCTAAAAATCCAGAGCAAAGAGTTGGGGGAAGGAAAACAAGTTGTTACTATTTTTGCAGCGTGCTTTGGTTTCCCAAGTTGCTTTGTGTTGCTTATTTAGCATTTATCTTTAGGCTGGGAATTGCAGTGAATTCCTGGAAGCTGCTTGACAGACTTAACGTCGGTCTGGTTCTGACATACGGCCGGCCCTCTCACTACATAAATGCAACCATAGGTGTCATCGTGCCTGTATGAACTTAGGCTGGTGCATAACTAAAAATTAAAGGTAGGGCTTTCGTCTATCACTGGTGAAATTTGTTGGCAGCTGAAGCCTGCAAGGCAACTCTACACAGAGTCAGCTGTCAAGGCAGTCAGAGGCACAGAAGCAAAACAATGCATTGTATTTGTGAACCAGCCCAGAGTGTACAGTAATATATTCAGATGAGGTACAGCGATGTGCAAACCATGTCTAGATGAGGATTTGCAAGTGAGCCTTCACATTGCAACAGTAGCACTGAACTGGTTGTTCCACTCTGGTCCCTGATCATTTGCAAAGCAAATCTTATCTTCATGGGATTGGCTTCCATTATTTTATCTATCCCCACCCCACATACACACACGGGTTGTTTCTTGGCTGCTACTTGTTTGATTCAGCCGGAGACTATAAAAGGGGATCAGAGAACTGTATCTTGAGCCATAGAGTAGCCTTCCCAACGTAGCTCCCTCCAGATGTGTTAGACTTCACATCTGGGGTTTGCAGTCACACTACATCTGGAGGGGGCCAGGTTGGGGAAAGTTGCCATAGGGATTTGACAGTCTTGATCTAGAAAAGGCGTTCTGGAGGCAAGCCCAGGAATGGAAAGACTATGTGTCCCACCTTGTTCAGAATGCTCCTCTTTCTGAACCAGAGGCATTCAGAGACTGGAGCATGTTCCTTTACACTGTGGGTCTGAACTCTAGAGAGACTCCTTCTTGCTACTAACTGGATATGATTTTTTAATTGCAGCGTGATCAAGACAAAGAAGCCACTGTAGACAAAAGTACAGGCTCTGGCAGTGCCTTTAATAAAGGAAAACAACAATGATTAAGCGCAGAGCTGCAAAATATTCTTTTCAACTACCAGAATTCCCTAGCCAGAATGGACAGAGCTACCTGGGGATTCTGGGAGTTGTAGTCCAGGAAAAGAAAGAACTTTCCCCCAACTCTGGCTATTTATCCTGTTTCCCACAGTAGTAGCCCTGAGGAGCCTTGTGCACAGTGGTTAAACTGCAGTACTGCAACCAAAACTCTGTTCATGACCTGGATCCAATCCCTGGTAGCTGGCTCAGGGTTTACTCAGCCTTCTGTCTTTCTGAGGTTGGTAAACTGAGTACCCAGCTTGCAGGGGGCGGGGGCAGTGTGTAGTGTGTGTAAGTAAATCGTAAACCATCCAAAAAAACCTCTAAGCACTATAGAGCAGTATATAAACCACACTCTGCTTTGCTTTTTAAACCAAGTTTTGCCAGGGAGTCCAGAAGCAAGAATTAAACATAATTTTCTTCATAGCAGGTTCTGTCCTGGAGTGTGCAAGGCAGTAATAGGGACAAGAGGGTCTTTAATCATGTGCAGAATGTTGTTGCTTGGAAACGAAACCATCACAGACAGCAGTCAGAGGCCACAGCTTTCAGACTGCAAGGAAATATGTCCTGTCTGTTTAAGCATTAAATATTTGCATCAGAGAGATTTGGAATTTGGGGAAATTGAGGCCCATAGACCACGAGTCATATATGAAATGCTGAGTGTCTGACAGAGTAGTGTCCTTGTGGAGATGAGGTCTTTTGCCTGTCTAACATTCCATTTATTTGTACGTGCACTTGAGCTGTTCCATAAGCGAGGTGCGAGGCATTCCTGAATGACACACACAAGTGAGCTTCCAAGAATGGCATTTGGAAGAGACCTCTTGCCTCCTAGAGAGGCAGATACATTTCTTGAGGTGACTCGAGAGTGGGAGGAGGATGGATGGATGCATGGATGGATGGATGGATGAATGAATGAATTAGACTGTGGAATCACAACACCCCCAAAATGATGTATATCAAGCCACTTGCTTGTAAGTCCTCATAGTTCATGTTGGTGTTTTTGCAAGCGTCTGTAAAGATACAGATTGCTTGAGATGGCATAGAATCTGCGTATGGACATTTTAAGTGCTCAGAGACTAAAGTTGTTGAGATGTTGATAGCTCAACCTCTTGAGGGGAGGGAAAGTTGTCAGTTGGGGCTGAAACTTAGCTTCATAGGCTCCCTATAAAGAGAGTAGCTTTGTGGGCTTCCGTGCAAAGGAAAGCAGAAGAAACAAAGAGAGAAGAAACAGAATGATTTGTGGAAAAGTGCAAGGACTTAAAGAACCAGGAATTGGTGAAGGAAAGTCGGAGAACGGAAAGGGACTGTGCCGTATATGTTTCTTGCTTGGTTTAGAACCCTTTCCAGTCATGACTCCACCTCTGAGTGCATAGAACAGGCTTCATGCTCCAGATCTTGGGAGAGGATACAGTGGTGCCTCGCTAGACAGTTACCCCACATGACAGTTTTTTCACTAGACATTGACTTTTTGCTATCACTATAGTGATTCGCAAAACAGTGATTCCTATGGGGGAATTTCGCTGGAAAATGTTTGGTCCCTGCTTCGCAAACCGATTTTCGCTAGACGACAATTTTGACAGCTCCCTCCGCGCTCGCAAACAGGGGTTTTTGGGACCTAAGCTTCTCAAGACAGCGATTTAAACAGCTGATCGGTGGTTCGCACAGCGGCTCTCCTATGGCCAATCTTCACTAGACAACGACGATTCTTCCCCATTGGAATGCATTAAACAGGTTTCAACGCATTCCAATGGGGAAATGCTTTTCGCTAGACAATGATTTCGCTAAACAGCGATTTCAGTGGAACAGATTATCATCATCTAGTGAGGCACCACTGTATATGGAAGTAAGGGTACGAAATGCACACCACCAAGGTACTCTACCTCATTCCTTCCTCTCACATGATTATCATCTCACGAGGGGACAAGGACTGAAGGAGTTCCTGCATCATAATATGTCAGAGAGAAACAAAATAAAACAAAAAATAAAGAAGACGAAATCATTGTGCCAACTTAAAGAGGAATTTTAATGTGAGCTTTTGTGGACAAGTTCATTTCCTCAAATATAAGTGTGTGTTGTGATAGTTAACATTCACAGGCCATATTAAGTGCACTTCAGTGGATTTAGAACACTAGTTCCCAACATTAGGTAACTCGGGTGTTCTTGGACTACGATTCCCAGAAACCTTCACCACCAGCTGTGCTTTCTGTGGTTTCTTGGAGTTGCCGTCCAAGATTACTTGAGTGTTTCAAAGTTGACAACCACTGATTTAGATTAACCATGTTGGATTGGGTCCATAAAGTGGTTGAGAATGTTGTTTAGTGTAGCAGTAGGAACATAATAGCCATCCATATTTGTCAGCTCAAAGGTAAACTAGTAAAACAGTAATCGAACACAGAACATTAAATTTATTAAACATTTGATAATTTGCTGAATAATAATATTATCGACAAATGTTGTAATCTGCTGATGTACTAGTATTATCTGTACCTTTGTGAAGACACCTACCATTGTCATCATAAAGACATTGTTGTAAGAACATGGAAAGGATCCCGCTGAATCAGACCGAAGTATCCTTGTTTTCTTCAGCGGGCATGCAGGAGCCCATGGATTAACTAGTGTTTGGATAGTGGTGACACAAATTTGAATAATAAGGCTCAATAGTTTGTGTTGCCGGCTTTCAATTCTGGCCTTAGTAATATTTTACAAGTCAATTTCTAGACTTTCAAAATAGCAAAATGGTGAATTCAGATGTTCCCTGTATACTTTTGTGGAGAGCCATATAAATAGGTAGCATATAACTGAAAATTCCTTGGGAAGGAATGTACATTTCAGAATTTGAAATCTGACAGTGATTTTTAAAACTGTGAAGATGCTCAATCATCCAGGTGAGGTTATCTGGAAGTTGAGTTGTGGCAACTGGATTTCTTTCTTGTTAGGTTGAAACATTTTTCTACTCATCCAAATAGCTTCTTCAGTCCTTTAACAATCTTTAAATGAATTGCTTAGATTGTAACTATGGCTTTACTGTTATGCTTTGGGTCTACATTATTTTTTCTTTTTTGTTCCTCTCTCAGATAGATGATCCTAAACATGGTTTGGAAGGAATGATGCCTGAATCCGAGGTTACAGGTTCAGTGGATAACTTGGGAACAAACCAGGCACTCACTGCAGATTATGTGGACTCTGGCTATGAAAGGGGCCAGCTAAACCCCGGCTCTCTTCACCAGGATGACCACCAGATAGCTACGTATACGCTGACCAACGCTGTCCCAGTGGCCCCTCCTCTCCAGGATATCTGGCACTGGGAGGTGGAGAACCTCGTCAGCCGAAGTTTGGCTCCTCACTGTGGAAATGGGAAAGACCTCTATCTCGTTTCAGGAGCTGTTCCTTCCACCGTCAGAGTGAAAGACAAGGTTGCGGTCCCTGAGTTTCTCTGGCTCGCAGCCTGCTGCGATGATGGGTCTGAAGCTTGGTCTGTGGGCTTTATGAAGCAGGCTGCCGCGGGGCACCGTCTGGAAGATCTAAGTTTGGAAGAGCTTGAAAAGAAACTTCCGGCAGGAGCCCAGCTTTTTAAGAACAACTGCGGTCAAGACAGACACAACCCTGAGAAGCTGGAGCTTGTGTTGCAGTCGGCCAAAAAGATCCGGGCTGAAGAACCGGTGCCTCAAAGCAGAAAGACCACCACCAGCAAGCAGATCAGTACTGCAAAGGAGGATTGTGGCTTTCTGAAGAAACTGTTCTGTCTCATTATTACATCTCTCTTCAAGTTGTTGAAATTTGTTTTCCATCTGATCGTCTACGTTGTGAAATACGTCTTTTGTTTACTGTGGCAGTTCATACTGACGATTGTCGGCGGGGTGTGCACGTTCCTCAAAGGAATTCTCTCAGTCCTGTTCACGGTCTTTGTCGACCTGGCACGGGTGGGGGTCAGCATCCTGAACGGCATTGCGCAAAACATCTACCAGGTCCTCATGATCGCCTACAGAATTGTTTGCGTCCCTGTTAGTCTGATCCTGGACATTGTGTCCTTTCCTTTTTACACTCTCGGTGCCGTCCCTGCAGTACTCCAAGATATCGCTTCAGGCATCGGTGGGTTGTTCTTGCTGGTGATTGATGCCACAACGGCTGTTGTGTGTGCCATAAATTCCGTTGTTTCACACCTAGCCAAAAAGTTCCTTCCTAAGATGTCTTTTGATGTCTGAAAAAAGAGAGAGGCAGAGAACCACTCTTTCCCAAAACACAAAGCAATACTTCCCAAAAATGTTGCTAATCTCTAGCTGTTCCTATAAGTATTTATTGTGGTGACGTTATCGGTGATGAACCAGTGTTCTGGTGAGCTGCATGATCCTCCAGGGGAATTTTATGGCATATTAAAAGTCCACTGATTGTAAACATCATCACCTTTGATGGATTGATTGACACTCCAGCATCATGTCAAGTCTCTTAAGAAATACGAAACAGTGTGCATATGGAAGACAGAGTCCTCCTCTTGACAAAGATATGTGAAAATGTGTATATAGAGTATATGAAAATATGGATACTGGTTTCTTAGTAATGGCAAAATATCTGGAAGTCCATTGGATTTTCTGATACTAGTTTATAGGATAAAAGAAAAAAAAAAGCTAACGAGTAGAAGAAGCTTTTAGAAGATTTTGAAGAATACTTTTCTTAAGCAAAACATCCTCTGTGAATAAATGCAATCCACAGGTTTTAAAAAATTAATCTGTTTAAAAGGTAATCTCTCTCTCTTTCTTTCTCTTTGGGAGCAGCCAGAATGTTGCAAAAGTGTGTAGGCTTTGGGGTTCTTCCGATCCGTTCATCACATTAAGTAGTTCAAAAATTATGGGAGAAGGAAAGAAATAAGGGTCAGACACGAGACTAAACCCAGTCCCTGAGTGGATGCTGAAGAGCAAATGAATCACAGGTAGTTGTGTAGGTTTCAGGTCACATTTCCTCCCCCATCTCTGTGGTTTTATACTACCCAGTCTGATTAATAATCCTGGAGAGCTCAAAAGCTCTGTCCAGTTGTTGTATTTAGCTGGCTGGATAGCTCAGTGAGTTAGGTATCTCGCTATAGAGCCAGGGGCTGGGAGTTCAGTTCCATCCAGTTCATCCCCAAGGAGCCAGAAGAAGGGAATGGCAAACCACGTCTGAGTATTCCTTTGTTTAAGAGATGTAGCTTGTATCACCAGCGCAGACCATCCCAGCTCCTGGTTCCAAAGGCTTTAGGGTGATGGACTGGGAAAGATGCGTCTGGAATGTTGTGTCATGACAAAGAGGGCAGCAGCTTGATCATCAAGTAGTCTGTCTCATTGCAAATATTTGACATTCTTGCACTGTGGAATTCTCCTTTCCCTATTGACCTGCCCTGCAATCCCTGGGCACATAAATTAAAGCAAGTCTCTTGTGGCATGATTTTTTTAAAAATCTCCGGCTGTTTCCCCAATAAAGCTTTAAGGATATGAATCTCTGGTGTGAAAAAAATGCAGGCATGGTGCAGTGTCCAAGAGATTGAAGAACACCCAAGAAGTCTCTGGTTCAAATGTCACCTTTGCTTTAAACTCATGGATTGGCCTTCAGCACACCCAGCCTCAGTTTCCAAGTCTGCAGTAAAAGAAATGGCAATACTGTTGCTTTTTTGGACAACAATCCCAGACTCCCCAGCCACAGTAGCCCAGCTCAGGAATAATATTTATTTCATTGTAAGGAATGTGACTGGATAAGGCACATTAACTGTGATGATCTCTGGAAAGTGCTATGTAAGCATGATTGCCTTACAGAGTTTCCTTAGGATCTTCTTCCTTTCTTTCCAGAGGGTTTGAGTTTTAGTAGCAGCGTTTTCAAAACTTTGGTCTGCCAACCTGATTCAAATATTGTCTCCAACCCAACATTTTTCTAATATGTTAGAGTACGGCTTCTGTAATCCTCAATTACTGAGGACGATGCATACTGTGATCTTAACACACCCAGACCTCATCTGTTTAGGGGAAAACTGAATTATTCTTAACACCCTGCATTAAAATACAAAAACTGTATTGAAAGTCAAGACTTGAAGCCAACTTCAGAAATTGCACATAGTATAAAAAAATGAGGCAGCTAGATAATTAATAGAAGTGAGGATTACAGAGAACAGACCACTAGTCTTCAAATCAGACTTTGAAGAAGGTGTTTTGTTGAAGCATACTACCTGGAATTTCCTGGCCTTGCTTGCTGGGGAATTCTTGCAGTCCCCCAAAAATAAACTTTTCCAAGCTCATTTTAATACACTTGGAATGCCAAGACCATGGCATATTTTCAGGTTTTCAAGGGATTGCTTTTGAGCTTTAAAATCTTCTATAATTTGGGACCAAGTTATGTTAAGGATCAGCTGGCCCTACGTTGCACTTTATACAGGAAGTCCTTTGTTGAAAGGGTTGTGCAGTCTGAAGTCAGATTTAGAAATGGAAGAACCCTAACAAAGATGAGCAGTAGGGATCATGAAATTATCCATTACCGATTAGCTCCTGGAGAAATGACTGAGCAGACACCAAAGCCACCTTGTTAGGGTCTTTCCTACTGTAATGAGATTGTTTTGTCCATATTTAAATAATAGTCTGTGGTTGGAATCCTATTGCATACCTCTGCCTCCATAATGCTAGTAACGTAACTATCAGTGACTAATTGCCACATGTTTGAAGGCAGAATAGGCATTTCCAGTCATACACTGAGTCGTGCAATTGGTGTGCAATAGGATGTGCTTACCCTAACTTCATAACTTGTGGCAATCCACCATTGAAAGTTATGTGACTGGTGTTAAACCAGAGGGGGCAGTGAATAGGATTCTGGCCAGGATTTTTAAATTTGCACTTTTGTTTATAGACAGCATATACAAAACAGTTCTTTAGAGTGATGTTTATATAGCGACCTTATGCAGGGACCATGTTCTCCAACATGAACTTGTTCTGTTGGTGAAATCTTCTACTGATGAAGACCTTCATAGTTCCTTCCATCAAATGAGGTGATGAGAGTGACCTATCATAAATGCGTTTTCCATTATGAGATCCCATTTCTGGACAGCTTCCAGAAGAATTTATTCCTACTTGCCTAGCCTTTTTAAATTTTGGAAGTTTTATTGTTCCTTATGTTTCTGAAGTTCAAAGGTGAGTGTTGATCCTTGAACAGTAGCATCCACTTAAAAGACAGAAACAACTGCAGGCTTATGGGGACCGTTTCCATAGATTAAAAAATAAATGAACTCCCCCCCCCACTTCCGAGAAGGGTTGATGAGCTTCCCAAAACAGTCCAGGCAGAACACAGCATGCTCAGTGCCCATGGAAAGATTATCAGCTCCTGGCCTGGGAATGAGAAGAAAAAACTGGAGAAGGGAATGGAGTCTTCTTGAATAACTGTGATTGAAATGGTGAACAAGGGCACTCTTCACGGCAAAGTTTTGTTGCAAATTTTCCTTACAGAGTTTTGTTTTAGCTCTTTGCTTATACCTCTGCTGCTGCATCTTCTGTGTTGTAATATACTGATTTTAAAAATATATATTTATTGTTAACTTGTATTTATTTTTAATGTTGTTAGTTGCTCCGAGATGTTTTATGACACGAAGAGCGGGATATAAATATACTATATATGAAAACAAATAGATTGGTTTTTTTGGCCCCATTTTCTGTAGGGTGAGGTTTTTCACAAGAATGTCTTATATTCCATTTTTTAGGTTGGACCTATTTGTGGGGGACATTTGATAGGACATGAACATTTTCAGTGTATTCAAAAATAGAAGGAATATAAAGGGGATTTTCCCTAAACCACATGGCTAATGCTACTGCTAAACAGTCAGTACACTGGAATTCTAGTGAATCATAATATGACTTCCCATGGTGCAGCGATTAAATTGCAGTACTGAAGTCAAGCCTCTGCTCATGACCTGGATTCGATCCTAATAGGTTCAGGTAGCTGGCTCAAGGTTGACTCAGCCTTCCATCCTTCTGAGGTCAGAAAATGAGTAATTAACTCGCTGGGGAGCAAAGTGTTTCTTGCATAATTATGTTGTAAACTGCCCAGATAGCCCTCTAGCACTATGGGGCAGTATATAATTCAAAACAATAAATAAATACCCTGTTTCCCCAAAAATAAGACCTAACCTGAAAATAAGCCCTAGTATGATTTTTTTCAGGATGCTCATAATATAAGCCCTACCCCAAAAATAAGCCCTAGTTAAACCCCGCCCTCCACCCTTGTGCATCAACCAGAAGATGACATGACTGTAAAATAAAACATCCCCTGAAAATAAGCCCTAATACGTTTTTTGGAGCAAAAATTAATATAAGACCTTGTCTTATTTTTGGGGAAACACGGTATATGAGACTTTTGTTACAAGATTTTTTAAAATCTTGGTGTGTGAAACTGCAGTCCTATTTCTAGCCTTTCATATTAAAAAAAATCTGTGCTTGACAGGTTGAGTCAGAAGGTCAGTGCAGATGGATAATATTAATTTCTTCCCATGCTAACAAAAGGTCTTAATTCACACATATTCTGACACATGTGCTCTGTGTCAACCAGAAAAAAATGCCAACAATTAGGCTCAATTTTGCTATTCTTCTAATTTTTTTCTTTCTGACCTGTAATGCAACTCACTGGCAGCTCTACATAAGAGCAATGAAGGCTGGGCCAAACAAGTTCCTGGCAAAACAGCAACAAACGTACAGAAAAAGAAAGAAGAAAACAGATGATTGTTTGCTTGCTCCTTTTATGGTGGCTTGATATCAAGTAACTATTGTATTAAACAGGCCGCTGATACCAAAATATGCAGAACAGTGCCAAGTGGCCGTCTACAAAAGTTCACACTGCATCTTTTCCTGAATCTGTTGGTTCTTTGTGTCCAGGGATTCATTTATTTTTGCTAGGGGTATCTGTGTGCACGGTTGTGTGTGCCCTCCTTGATCTGTTGTCTAGAACAGAGGTCTCAAACTCAATTTACCTGGGGGCCGCTGGAGGCAGAGTCTGGGTGAGGCTGGGCTGCATCAGATTTTCTGCCAAGCGGAGCAAGAGCCTGAGGAAGCCACCCAGGAGTTTCCTGAGCCCGGCTGGGGCTCCGAGGAGGAGGGGCGCACGAGCCCTTGTCGCTGGCCATGACCCCCTCTGGCTCCTTCTTCACTACTACCACCACCAGCAGGATGAAGAAGCGGAGAAGGGAGGGAGCGCCGACGACCGCCTAGCGGGGGGGAGGAGGGCATGACATAAAATTAAAAAAAAACTAACAAAATTGCCTTGCCAAAGGAGAAAAGCCCCCATCGGTACCCGGGAAATTAAACAGAATGCAGTGGGCTCCCCCACAGGTGTGCATGCACAAACACACACACGGAGGTCCGGCCTTCCCCACAGGTGTGTGCGCGCGCACACAAACACACGCACGGAGGTCCGGCAACCTTCCTCTGAGAGCCCCCCTCAAAAAAGGTGCACTCAGTAGCAGCAGCAGCTACCCCCATGACGACAGAGGAGTGAACTCTGCAAGGTGAGCCCAGGCAGCCTCCGAGGCAGCTGAAGCAGGACAAAGAGGAGGAGGAGGAGGAGGAAGTACCCTGGGTGCTGAGGCGGCCGCTGGCCAGGCTCCGGGTGCTGAGGCGCCCACTGGCCAGGCTGGTGCTGGGGGTGCCAAGAGAAAGAGAGCCAGAGAGCCGCTTCCCTGGAAGAGGTGGCGGCGACGGCAGCTGCTGTTTGCGGCTTGGAGGCACTTTTTGAGGATGGGCCAGGAGCGAGCTCCGCTTGGGCCAGGAGAGAGCTCTGCTCTCAGGCATTGCGCAGCGGTGACTCAGAAGCTTGGGGAAAAGGGCTGGCAGTGCACCTCGCTGGCTGGCTCTCCCCAAAGACAGCACCTTTTTGCACCGTCCATCTGGAACTGCTGCCTGCCAGCTGGCAGACAGGTAGGCAGGCGGGCTGCAGTTCCGGATGGAGGGTGCAAGAGGCGCTGTCTTGGGGGAGAGCCGGTGAGTGAGGCGAGGCTTTTTTTGACTCTTGACAGCAGAGGATGCATGGGCGCTTCGGGGGGGCAGACAAGGCAGGGGCCACAAACTATCGTCCATCGGGCCACAAATGGCCCCCAGGCTGCATGTTTGAGACCCCTGGTCTAGAATAAAGGAGGGTTCTTACTAAACTACACAGAACCAGTCCAGGATATCTTGAAGCCTGAGGCAGAGGACAAAATGGCACCCTTTATTCGGCATACAAAATCTGAGTGGCCTGTCAAGGTGCCGCTTACCTCGACGCCAAGAGCACACTGGAGGGCAGTAGGCTTGGTCAGGAGATTAGGGCCGTCTGTGTGGCACCCCCAACCTCTCTCCTTTGGGGCACAGAGAAAAATATGAGGAAAAGCTGGTTGTGGGAGGAGGGGACAGGTTACTTCCTTCTCTTGTTTCTGAGAATAAGGCCTGAAGTTGGGGTGAGCAAGGTGTAACCTCTATCTTCTGACCCCGCCTTTCGTCATCCTCTGAAGACTGTATCACCACTCCCTCAGTTTGGTTGTTGTTGAAAAATGGGAGACTCCTACTCCTTGAAACCTGTCCAAAGTGCCAATGTTCTTCAAAACAAAGCTTTTTCAATGACTCCCTGTGTCAAAAACGTGCTTCCACTGAAGTACTACCAGCTACCTTGTCATTTCCACCACTAAATTTGGATAGCCTAAGGGGAGATGATGGCTGCCCTCACTGGGTCCTACAAAGGAGGGTGAGGGGAGCTGTCTCTTGATCGACAGAAGCTGTCTGATAGTATTTGAAGTGGAAACAGGCTTGCTGTTCTAATCAGGAACTCGCAGCGCTTCAGGAATCCTTATCGAGTGACATGAAATGAGATGAGGCAAACATCTTTGAAGGGAGTCCTTCTGTGTAACTTTTCCTCTTCCAAGGTAAACCTTTCTGGGGCTGGCTTCTCTGCACTGCAGTTTGGGGTGGATGCCAGGACACTGGGAGGTGGAGGCTGTTTCTGAGCCAAATCATATCAGCATTAAAGTTTCCAGTCCCTGCCCCCCCCTTTTTCTGGCTTCTCTGCACTGCAGTTTGGGGTGGATGCCAGGACACTGGGAGGTGGAGGCTGTTTCTGAGCCAAATCATATCAGCATCAAAGTTTCCAGTCCCTGCCTCCCCTTTTTTTGGTTGTTGTTCATTTGATTAATACACCCAACAATGATTTTGCAAGATGAGAACATAGCAATATGGATTTGGAGTTGGATAAAGGTGGAGAAATGACACTGAAACTTACCACAGGCCAAAGCAGGTTTTGTATAAAGGAAGGGGTAAAGCTTTGACAACATTTTTTGTTTAGGAAAAAAAAATACTAGGGGTAGGTATAAGGATTTTATGTTACACATTAAAGGAGTACAAAATTAAAAATAGTATGGAGAAGGGTATATGACTTTTCTATAATCTTAGACTGCAATCTTTCCAGTGTGCTGGTTAGCAGGAGAATGCAGAAAAAGGTATTACAATAAGGGCTTTTACAGATGGGCAAAAGTTCTACCTCAAAGGATTGTGGTTGGTCACTACTCATCTTGGAGGAAGCTGGGGCTTAATGGGATATCTCTCTACACCACACTGCAAACGCCATGCCTTTGAACATAATTTCACTTTTAGATCCTGGGAGATAAATCCTTATAAATCCACTTCCATGCTGCAGCTTTGCCTCTGGAGCTTTCTGGTTTATTTTTTTCATTAAAAAAATACGAAGCTGATTATGAACCAGTGGAAGAAGCAGAATAAGCCTTCTGGACCGGAACCTCTAGAATGGAAATGAATTTCCTATGCAAAGTGTCATAGGGCTAAACTCTGCTCCCTGTCATTAACAAACTCCGCAAATAAATAAAAGCAGCATTTCAGCAGAGACAAAAAAGGAACCAGGAGACGGTACTACAGTAGTCATATAAGATCAAACCTTGCCATTTGGAGTTTAGGAAAAATATGCAACCTGTGCTGAATCCGGTACATTTACAGAAAAAAAATATATATCTGGAAAATCCTCAAGAGGTATGTACAGTATATGCAGCCACTAGATGGCCTTTATAGAGAAATGCTCAGAAGCGCCTTGCGAGGATTTCTAGCTGTTGCTGCAGTCCAGCACCCTCTTGTGTTCACACTAGGGAATGCATGGCAATATTTACTTCCTTGTTTAGCTCTTGGTTTTTTATACATATTAAAATCCAAAGTATTATGATACCTTTTAAAACCAAAAGATTTACGGCCTTGTAAGCTTTTGAGGATTACAATGCAGAAACCTGACAGCAGAAGTGTACTGTAATGCAAAAAGCTCACAATGAAACAAACCTGTTAATTTTAAAGGAACTACTGTACACTTTTTGTTCTTGTTATACCTCTTGAAACACAGTAGACCTGTCTCACATTGAGGCTTTGGTTTTCATGATCCACTACCTCTGTTGCTGGGAATCATGCACATGATTCAGCCAGAAACAGGCACATCAATGTCCCATTCATTAAAATCTTAACTATATTTCTCCACCCTGAAATATTTGGGCATGGTATATCGATTAACTCCCCTTCATGGATTGCTGCCTTG